AGATGACTCGCTGCGCCGGATACTCTCGTCTCAATATTCTCAAGAATCTCATCTCTCTTCTTCATTTGGATTGGAAGATTTGAAAATCTGACCAAAATACTCTATGACGATTTGCTCAATATCAACCTCATTCTCCTTCCAGTAGCCTGCAGAATCCCTCAGCTTTAAGACCCGATTGGTCTTATTTCTGATAGTAGCTTTTGAGTGAAAAAACCTGGTATTCCTATCCCCTTCCTGAATCCATTGAATTTTACTTCTTCGGCCCCAATACATATCATTGTCGTCATAGGCTCTCTCCATTTCTGCTCGAAGAGCTCGGATCTCCGCTCTAATGCTCTCGGTCTAGACAACTGCAGACAATGCATGAATTTTCTTGTGGAGCATCTCAATTTGCCTTCGCGGTTGTTTAATCTTCAGTCTGCTCCAATCGATCAGGGCGATCCTGCATTCGCCATTTTTACGCAAGAGATCATCGATGGGGTCGTCACTCAGCCGATCCCGCCAATGGTGATTGATAATATCTTCACACTCCTCTTTACGGATCCAAGTTGCTTCAAACCTGAAGGGTCGCCTTTTTCTCACCCTACGGAATTCAGTTGTGTCGGATAATGTAAGCTTGATAGGAATGTGATCGGACCCCGAGTAATCCAGGTGATGAACAAAGTAACATTTTAAAAGGGCAATGTGTAGGAAAATAGTATTTTTAAAGGGAAGCGTGCAACAAAAATAATATTTAAACGTGTTTGGATCTAAACATAATTATGTACGGATATATGGAATTATGGCAAATTGCAAAATAACCTATGATGACAAGGTCACTTTATTGAAAAAGGACATCCTACTTTTCTTCCTAGCGTATATATCCACCCATCCAAACTTACTTTTGTAACCGAGAAAAAGTCTTTCATATATATCAAAATTATCCTGAACTTCTTCAATCCCCAATTCATACTCAGTTTCATGATTTAAATTCGAATTTATTCTCAATTTCACCAATTAACCAATTTTGACCCATACCTCAATTTTGACTGTCACCGCTGGTGACCTTTGGTCGGCCGCCGTTGATTTTTTTTTCCTGAACCTTTTTTTTCCTGGAATTTTTTTCCCGCCACCACGGGCCGCCGGCATTGATCGCGGGTTTAATTTTTTGTTGAAAAAACTCTTTTTATTAATATTATTGTCTTGGTCTGCAATATTATTGTCTCAGACAATAATGCTGATGTCAAAACATAATATTAGTGTGTCAATATCAATACTACTGTCATGACTCCAATATTACTGTCTTAGACATTAAAATTGGTGTTAACACAATAATATAAATCTATTAATTAATTTTATCGACATGGCCTGCTATATTACTAACTCAGACAACAATATTACTGTATGAGACGGTAATAACAATATTTTTACTTCATGAGACAGTAATATTATTGTCTCTGCAATATTATTGTCCAATTCAGTAATATTGTAGGTAACGCAGTAATATTAAGGTATTCATAAAACAGTCAACGCCAACGCCAGAGACAGTTAAATTACTGTTGGAGAGAGTAATTTAGCAGCCAAGACAGTAATATTAATTAAAATAATTTTTTTAATAAAAAAAATCAACGCCGAGACCGGTGGTTGACTGGCCGGAAAAAAGTTTCAGGAAAAAAAAAGTCAACGCCGGAATTTTGCCTGAAAGATTCAGAAAAAAATTATTTTGTGAAAAAAATATTATTTTTTCAAAAAATTATGAAACTGAGGGTTAATGTGATATATTTGTTTGAATACGAGGTCTGTGTGTAATATTGATGAAATTGATAAAAATTATAGTACAGAAGGTATTTTAGACAAAAGACATGGGGATAAATTTATTTAAGACAATTTTTCGTGTGAATACATGTGCATTTAACTCCCTTGTTATGCTCCACTTTGCCATTTGCTCATAAAACATAATATATAAAAACGAAATAAAAGTCGATGTATGATAACAGCCAGATATCAAAATGATATAATATATATACTCTACATAATATACAAATTTAGGGAAAATTTATCAAACCCCTTCCATTAGAAAAGTGTTGTTACAGTAGGCCCAAACAAATATTTTGATTTTAAGTAAAATCCAAATTCCAAAGTGTATTTAACTAATAATTTTTTTTAGGTTTTACTATTATACCCTTAATTTGTAATTAGACTTGTATTTAAGAATTAAATACATTGTATCTTTTCCTTAATTATCTCACGTTTCAAGTAACATTGTTATTCCACAAATCTGATTTCTATTTCTAATTATGATCTTCATCTTCATTTCTAGTTTTTCTCTCATTCTCTTATGCCACAACACCCACGCAATCCTCTCGCCGCCGACAAATTCACGACCACCACCATCCTCTTCCTTGGATCTCGGATCTCGTATTCACAATACTTATTACATTAATTATCATTCGTATTGAAGTTGTCGCTGATTACGGCGAAGTAAAATCCACTATTTTGCGCATAGTGATTTTTGCCCGCATAGTGGTTTTCGGGTGCAGAGTAGTTTTTGTCATTTCCCTTATTAAATTCACTATCACTATTGTGCAAAGTGGATTTTCCCTTTCCACTTATTAAATTCACTGTGGTGCATACAGTACTGGTTATGTGGCGAAAGCTTACTTGATAGGGGTAAGATGGTTGAAATTGAATACAGAAAAAACACTATAGCAGACGTCATTTTTTTACAGGAAAAACTTGTGTGACGCGCTCAATATATATATATATATATATATATATATATATATATATATATATATATATATATATATATATATATATATTGTTTGCCCTAACGAAATATTTTTTTATCCGAAAATAATAGCAGATTTTCTTCAATTAACGTAAGCCATTGTTGCAGTTTTTGGAGATTAAGAAAAAAGTGATTAAATGGGTTTCCGAGATTCTGGAAAAGTTGGGGGCGAGATTTGTGGAGAGATGGAGAAAGATTAGATGGGATAAACAAATTAACGGGATAACTGATTTGCAAAAAAATTTCCTTATTTTATTGAGATAAAATAAGGGTAGATGTGACAATTTAATACTAAAGGGGTTATACCTAAATGAGGATTTAAGTTTGGATTTATCATTAATATGAAACTGAATGGGGGTTTATATCAAAGGGTAATTACTAATTAGTGAAAACACCCCAACTTATTTATTTATATTAAGATGGATATAACCTCCTTTCCAATATTAGTGAGACCCCCTAATTAGTTAATTAAATAAATATTTATTAAAATTTAAAGTAATCTCTCTAATTTACCCTCCCGTCAATAATATATAATTTATTTTTTCCACCTAAAACCCTAACCACATAAATTCATCGTCTCTTCTTCTATTTTCTCTTTTTTTCCACAGATTTCGCCTCTCCACCTCCATGGGTAGTCGCTCCGCCAACGCCGCCCAACTTCGTCAAGGTCGGCACCATGGTACTTACAGATCTCATCTTCCTCCACTATCCCCTGCATTTTTTTCATATTTTATCTTCTCTTTTATTTTTAGCGTTAACTCCGCCGACGCCGACGCCACCGCCACCGCCATTTGTCCCCTCCACCTCCGCGCACACTGCCGCTCAGAGTAGAGTTGCAGCGGTCAAGGTGGAACACGCGCTGTAAAATAATTTGCATCTCAGATTTTCAGGATCCAACTTGGACGAATTCTCAACAATCAATTAATGTATGGATAGTTTCATCAGGGTAGATATGGGGGTGGATCTAATATGTTAAACAAAAATAGTTGAAAACATCTCATTTCGTGAAGATTGATCGCATCTGCTGTTTTGAGTTTGATTTAGATTAATTTGGTTTGATTTGATTTGTCTTTTCCACCTAGTTTTTACAACGATATTCATATACTTGTTTCCGATCCATTACTTTGTAGTTGATTTCCGATTTTGCTATTTTTAATTATTTTGTAGTTGTTGTCGATAACTTTACAGTAGTTTTCGATAGTTTTATAATTGTTTTCGATATTCTGTGTTGATTTATACAATTTATAGTTGATTTCCATTTCTTTTATAGTTGATTTCGTTAATTTGTAGTTGTTTTTATTTTTTGTGAATTTGCTATTTGTAAACCACTATTTTTATATAGTCGTTTTACAGTTTTCTAATAGTTGATTATGGCTAAAAAAAACCTACAGTTGAAAAAAATAGTTGTTTTACAATTTATAGTTGTTTTTTATTAAAAAAAATGGCCAGAAAATAGTTGTTTTCTAGAAAAAAATTCCCAAAATAACTGAAAATTAAAATTAAGAAAAATGAAATAAAACAAATCGAAATTATAGTCGATTTTGGAAATATTATAGTTGGTTTCAGAATATTTATAGTTGTTTCTGAACAAAAAAACTGAAATTAATAAAATTGAAAAAATCAAAGTAAAATTTAAAATATTTTTTAAATAAAAAATTAAAAGAAAAATATTTTTCAAAGCTATTATTGTTAGTCTTTAAATAAAATAATAAGAAAAACAAAAATTTAATTTATTTAAATTATATATTAAAAAAAATTACGGTTTGCATGTGGGAGTTTATGGAAATATTTGGGAAGCGATTTTTGGGGATATAAGCACACATGATTGCAAGTATCTCAAATTTGATTTTATGTGTCTTTCAGAAGGCTATTCTCGGGAATCATTAAAAATTAAAATAGTGGATTTTCTACAAATATTAAAAATATGGCTAGATCTTCTCTTAAAAAAAGAAAAATAGAGGGTTTATGCCTAATTGGCTAATTTACAATTATAGTAATCTTAATTATTTGATTTAAATACTCCACGTGGCAAAATACGAGTGGGAGCCCGGTAATTGCAAATAATCGGCCCATCCAACCAGAATTTAAACTCATTCCAATTTAATCCATGGTCGGCAGAATTAGATTTTCAAGTCAATTTAGGTTAATAAATTAGCCTTCTCAATACTACATACATAAATCACCCGAGATCAATCAGAAAAATATAAACACACAAATTACTTCCGGCAGCATGCATCAACTCCCCGTAGAAATTTTGGAGGAACTTCTCTCATGGCTTTCGGTTAAGGATCTTCTAAGATTCAAATCCGTATGCAAAAAGTGGAATTCAATAATCTCCAGCCAGCACTTCATTAACTTGCATCTCAAGAAATCGATTTCGACCCCTTCCCGCCACCGGATTTTCATGCCGTATCGTGAGACATTCGCTACCGTCGATTACTACGGCAAGGATCTAGATTCCGACCGAAAGCGACCGTCGGTTTTCATGCCGAGGCCGGAAGAAACTATCGGAAAATTCCTCGGAGGTGGAACTTGCGACGGTCTGCTTTGTTATTTAGATAGGGTTACTTTGAGAATGTGTGTGTGGAATCCAGCTCTCCGGTTGTCGAAAACCCTGGATTTGAAAATACCCGGGATTGTTCGTACGCTTTTGTTCTTCTGGTTCGGGCGAGAATCCTACGATGATGAGTACAAGGTTGTCGTAGGGATTCGAGGTCGTACTGAATCTAGAAATCGCACGTATCTCATTAAGCCGTTTTCCGACAATTGCGTCACGGAGTCGACACAATCGGAAACCGATGATTTATACTTCAGGTCCTTTGACGAGGGTACACTTTTACGTGGAACGGTGCATTGGCTTACGGTGAGTCCTCGAATCAACACCGTTGGTTCGATTGGTCAATGTGCGGTGTTTACTTATAATTTGGGCAGCAGAACTCTCGGAAAATTGTCGACGCCCGTGGGATTGGATTCGAATGGGGTGATTGGAGTGATGAACGGGTGCCTCTCTGCAGTGTACAATGCTCGTCGAGGCGGTTGTCCGATTTATGAGGTTTGGGTAATGAAGGAATATGGAGTGAAAGAATCGTGGACTAAGTTTATGAATATATCGCCACGCATTAGCGATCGTATATCTTCTTCTACTAGGTTGAAATTTGTTGGAGTTACTGATAAAGGCGATCTTATTGTGAGTTGTGCTCCGAATTTTGAACTATTGATATATAATGTTGTAGAAAACAAATCGAAGACTCTTGTGAACTATGGTAACGGGAGCGCAAGAATGTATGTTGAGACTCTCGTTTTTCCGCGATTTGCTTAACGGTCAATGCAGCAACACGTGGTCGACGAAAGGTTGAGGTTTTCTTGAGTCTAGTTTATTTCTCTACGAAATTTATTTATTTTACTATCTCTTTTTTTTTTTTTGGTCTTTTTTGCACTTTGATTTGATGGTAAATGTGTTTCTACATTATGGTACAATTATAAACAAGTGAAATCCATCGATTTTAATTATTAATTCTACTATTTCTACCGATAATTTCGGGTCTCCAAATAAGTCGACCGAGTTCAGTCACCCGGGATTATAGATGCCCACATTGTCATATTATTACATTGTACACTAGTAGAAAAATGGGGATAGTTAGTTACATATTGTCCAATTATTATACAAGAAAACCAATTTTAGTCCTTATATTTTTTTTTCGCCGCGATTTTTGTCCTCAATCAACAAAATACGTTAATCATAATACAGGGAGTGTCTTCCTGGTATTGTATCAATTGTGAGATGTTCGTGTACTTGAAAAATTAATCGGATGGGGATAAAAATCTCATCAGTAACATTAGAATTTGATTAGTTGGTTAAGACTTCCTGTTTTATTACGGTGTTAGGAGAGCTTAAGAGGGTTGTCGAACAACTCATCGTTTAGTTTATCTACTTTACTTATTTGATTGGTAATTTTTCGGTTTTGGAGCTGCAAATATGTTTGACTATTACGTCGAAACTATGTACATTTTGATAGCAAGACGTTTGTGTTGTGCTAAACCTCAAAATTTAGTTTGATGTGGATAACAATATAATCGATCACGGGTGAAGTCCTATACTCCTATGCATTATAATTCAAGCGTTTTTGCGTTTAATATTGGGAGAGTAATACTTAGAATTTGTATTTATTTAACTAGGCTTGATTGGTACTTATGAGGGGTTTATTGGTAATACCTGTGTTTTTTGTTTGTGTTTTACGCTCGTTTGTGGCTATGTTTTCGTAAACCTGATAAAGGTATTTCATCGACGTTCTTGTTCTTGAATTTTAAAAATGCTCAAGGCTATGTTTGGCACGACACTTAAAATTTAGCGACAGCATTGGAGATGTTCGAATTTGGCAATGCGAGTCAAAAATGTATGTTTGACAACTCGTTCCGTATTTGCTGTTTGGTTTATGTAATCGAAGCGAGACTATATAAAGCACGCGTTTTGTACCTGAGAATGTTGAAGTAACTCAATCAATCCCCTTCTCTAGCTTTATTTTTCATTTAGCCCCAATTCCCACTTTATTCCAATAATTTAGTCGCTGTAAAGGAAACTTTATAATTGTAGTTGTTCATCCTTTTTTTGATCTTGTCTATGAGGAGAAAAGTAAGCTGAGAGATCTGATTTACGGGAGCAATTTATGCACAATGTTAGGAACGAGATTTTGAAGTACCGAACGGAAATATATATCGTCAAATGAGACATCGATATCGAGGTTCGTCGCGACATCAAATATAAATACTTTTACTATTACAATATATTAATTCTATCTTATATATTTAACAAGTACAAAATAAAGATACATAATATTTATAAATTAATGAACTGCTACGTTACAAAATTTGGTATAAAATTAGTTATAGAGTTTCACCAGGATAATTACAGTTTTGGTCCATCAAGTATGCATAGGTTTTCACTTTTGGTCCACATTTACCGCCGTCAACAAGATACACACTAATGTTGTCACATTTTAACACATTGATTCCCTCTGTCTGTTTGAAGAGTAACGGTCAACGGTTGAATTGAGATTAAATTTGGGGTTTATCTTTGAGAAAATTGCAATAAGACCCCATTCTTTCAAAATATTCTAAAAAACCCTAAAATTTTATCCAACCATAATTTAACCTTAATTTCCTCAATTAACCAATTTTAATCAATGACCCCAATTTTTCTAAATCGGTTACATTCTTTTTAAATCGGTTGACTCTTTTTTCGATTGATTCTTTTTTTTTTTTTTTGCCGTTGTTAACTGATGTTGATTGTCGGGCTAACATTGTTGACTTTTTTTCTTGATTTTTATTTTATTTTGTTTAAATTGTTGAGTAGTGGGAAAAATATAATTTGATAAAACAGTCAAAGTTGATAACCGGCGAGAAAAAAATAATATCATAAATAGTCAAAATAAAAGAAAAAAAGAAAAAGTCAACTCAGCTCAACGACAAAAGAATTTTAAGACAAAAAAAGGTAAAAATTAACGGCCGGTGTTAGCCCCAAAAACAATTTTACTAGTGTGGTTTTCTCATTTCCAAATTTCTCCGCAATGCCTAATTCATTTTCTTCATACTTTTTTGGGAAGAAATTTGGGATGCATTGGCAGTTCCACGAAGAAAATTTTGAGAGGAAGAAATTATGGATTTTTAGAATTTTTTAAATTGTATTTTGGCCCCAAAATTTTAGATAAAAACTTTTTTAGCAGTTCGTACTTTTAATATTACAATACTAGATATTAATGTAGTATTATTATTGTGTTATACAATAATAATATTGTATTCATTTGAAAAAAAAAAGTCACAGGAAAAAGTTAAAAAAAATCAAGAAAAATAAAAAAGTCAACATTGTTAACCGAGAATCCAATGTCGGTGAACGGCGTCAAAAATAGTATTAAAAGAAGTTCGATGCCGGAAAAAAAAAATCAACGATGGTCAACCGCCAGCGCTAATGGTGGTAATAACCGGGATTGTTTGTCAAAATTGATTAAATGATGAAATTGGGATTAAATTAGGGTTGAATAAAATTTTACGGGTTTTTAGAATATTTTAAAAGAATGCAGGGGTCTGAGTGCAATTTTCTCAATAAATAATCCCAAATTCAGCAATAATTCAACAGTTGATCGTTACATCTTGACGGTCAAACTGACGGACGGATTCAATGTGTTAAAATGTGACAACATTAATGTGTGTTTTGTTCACGGCGGTAAATGGGAGACCAAAAGTGAAAATCGTGCAAACTTGTGGGGCCAAAACTGTAATTATCCCAGTTTCACCACAATAAACTCATACAAATGGGTAACCACCAAAAAGAAAAAACAGACAAATGGATACCTTATTATTTGAAAATTTTAATTGAATTTGTAGATATATGTCTATTTGGGACTAAATTGTTGGAATAAAGTTACAATGGTGCTAAATAAAAAACAGAGGTAAAGAAGAGGGGGTAAAGGAGTTATTTCAGCATGCTCATGTGACTTTTTCGTCCAAACTAACTGCCTAGTTAAACGGCGGACCATATTTTCAAAAAGTTGTTAGTTTGAGGACTGAAATCGTGGCTAAAGAAATATAGGGACTAAAATTGATATTGGTGTATAGTATAAAAACGGGAAAAATACAGTTTTGGTCCCTCAAGTTTGCATTAACTTCATATTTGGTTCCTCGTGTTCACAAAAAATACATTTGATCCCTCGTGTTTCAAAAATTCAACACTTTTAGTCATTTTTGTCAATTTTTTGTTCGTGGTAACGGAATCAAGCGTGTGCCCACCACTGAATTAACTGATGGAATAACGGTAAATTGACGAAAAAGACCAAAACTGTTAAATTACTGAAACATGAGGGACCAAATATGTTTTTTTTTTCTGTAAACATGGGGACTAAATATGAAATCAATATAAACTTGGGGAGAGAAAAGTGTGATGTTTCCTTATAAAGACCAAAACTATAATTATCCCGAAAAATGACTTTTTACTACGACCATTAATCGTAGCAAAAGGTACGAAATTCATAGTAAAAAGTTTTTAATATGCGTTTGCTACAGATTTGCCCCGTAGCATATAAGGGCGTGACAAACACTTTGCTACAGTAAATGGTCGTAGCAAATACTTTTTTACTTCGGTAAATTCTAGCATTTACTACGACTTGAAGATCATCCCGTAGTAAAAGTTATCTTTTGTTACGGATTGTGATTTTAAAAAGACAAAAAAGCCCCTTTGAATTGCATGTGCGACACACATGGGTCTAATTTCGGCAATTTTTGCCTGAAAATTCATTAAAAAAAAAAAATAATAATAAAAAGGGCAAAGTGGCACAACTTATTCAGTTCAGGTAGGATTGGAGTTTTTATTTGTTGAGGTGGTCATCCTAAAAAAAGGGCAAAGTTGGGTGGTTTAATGTGATAATTGCAATTTTAGTCCCTGTATTATACATATTTTTCGATTTTGGACCTTAAATGTTTTCTGCCACGGAATTGGTCCTAAAATAACTGTTTTTTTTTTTTTTTTTTTTTCGCCATTTAATTAAGGAGTTAGTATGGGTGGGGGGAAATTACATTTTTCGTCCTCATACTTAACCCACTTATTCAAAACTGTCCCTAAACATTTTGGAGTTATAATATTAGCCCTTAATCATGCTATTTTTTGACAAAATTGGTTCGCCGTTTATTTTTGTAGTTAATTTGGATGGAAAACGGCATGAGCCTCTCACATGCCTTTAATTTCCAGCACTACATGAAAATGGACTTTAAACAACAGCATTCCGTTTTGTTAAAACATATTTTTCATAATTAAAATTTGATTGAAATTGGAAATTTTTCATATTGTTTTAAATATTTTGAGAAATATTCTTTAAACAATTGAAATATTGTTTTAAAAAAAATGAAATATTGCTTTCAAAATCAAGATTTTCGGAATTCGAATGAAAACAATGTTTCGGAATTCGAATGAAATCAAGATTTTGGTTTGAAGCGATATTATTTAATCGAATTCCAAACATGCCGATTTTGAAACAATATTTGAAATTTTTAGACTACATTGTGATTTTTTAAACAATATTTCCGAAAATATCTTGACACATTTTATCGAGTTGAGTTTTTGGAATTTACGTGATTTCGATTTTGTATTAAATTTCAATTAAAATAATAATTATGAAAAATCTGTTTTAACAAGACGTAATGCTTGTTGTTAAAAGTCCATTTTCATATAGTGTTGTAAATTGCAGACACGTGAGAGGCACATGCCATTTTCCATCCAACATAAATGCAAAGATTAAGTTGAAATGAGCTTCATCTTAATTGTAACTCTAGGGA